TAAGTCATCACAAATCATTCCCCGACATATCACACCTTGTCTTACCACTTGCGCAACAATAAAATAAATGCCCGCCTTGTCTCGTTGCACGCGCATAATAATATTCCCACCTTGTCTCGCCACATATGCAAACCCACATATATAGCCCGCCTTGTCTCGCTGCATGTGCAAATAATAATAATAATAATAATAATAATATAATAATAATAATAATAATAGCACGGTAGAAATCTCGTGCAAACACTCGAACAATCCCCCAAGAAGTCCAAAAGTATCATAATCATAACAACACAACATAATGACTTGCACAACGTGCCCATATACCACAATATTTCTTAAAAATAAATTTCAATACCACAATCATACATAGCCCTCGGCTCAACAACACTGACTACAACAACAATAATAATGACCCGGGAGTACGACAAGTAGATCAACAAAAGAATTACAAAAGCACAATGAAACGTAAGGGCGAACTCACAATGAAGACATAACAAGTAATAATGGCTACAAATAGAATAACTCAACAATAAGAGAGACAACATGTAATAACTATTTCACGTAAGGATAAATCACAGTGGAAGAGACAACATGTAATAAAAGAGGCAACAACTCCAATTAAAGCATAAAAGAGTATATTTGGCAACAAAGGGTAGAACGTGAACTAATCAACTTCAATAAGGTATGTAAGGGTAAATTTAGAAATGGAGGATATAACATGATAAGTCAACTTCATTTCAAATGTGCATAAGAAACCTAAGAGTCTAAAACGGTCAGATTTCCACATATAATCCATGTACACACTCATCACCTCGTGTACACGTCTTTCACATAGTTCAAATAGTGCAAACAACCCAATTCCTATGGGGTAGTTTCCCCCCACACAATTTTAGGCAAGATACTTACCTTAACGAAGCAAGACTGATACTCTAAAATGGTCTTCTCGTGTGCAACAACCTTCGGACGGCTCAAATCTAGCCAAAATAATTTCATAACACAAATTAAACTCATTGAAAATAATTCTGGATAATAAAACTTTGATTTTAAATTTAACACTAAAAAGTCAAATCGAAAGTCAACCCCGGGCCCGCACCTTGGAACCCGATAAAAATTTACAAAATACGAACACTCGTTCCGATATGAGTCTAACCATACCAAAATTACTAAATTTCGACTCCGGTTCGGCCTTCAAAACCTCAAATCAAGTTTGGGAAAATTTCTATTCTAATGCCCCCCAAATCACAAAAAATAGGTGCTGGAAATAGTGTTAGATTCATGAATAACGGACCAAATCAAGTTAAGATTACTTACCCCAGTCCAATTTGTGAAGTTTGCCTCTGAAAATTGCTCAAACCGAGCTCCCCAACTCTAATTATGTTAAAAACGGTGAAACCCCCATTTTTAGAAACCTCTCCAGGCAAGTCGCATTTGACACCTGCGATTTGCCTATGTTCCCTTAAATACCAGAAAAACAACAGTCTTTCCCGGCACGGAAATGGGCATAACTTTCTCATACGACCTCGGAATGCAACAACTCTTGTTGCTATGGTTCTGTAATTACAAAACGGATTAGATGGTTCAATCGAATCACAAATCAAAGGTCGTTTGCACAATATGGTACCCTTTATGCCAAAAGAAACGACGCCGAAACATCAAATAAGAGCGCGGCACAATCCAAACCCATCCGAAACTCACCCGAGCTCTATGGGACCCCAATCAAATATACTAACAAGTCCCAGAACATGATACGAACTTGCTCGAAGCCTCAAATTGCCTCTAATAACATCGAAACTGCGAATCGCACTCATATTCAAGCCTAACAAACGAAGAACGCTCCATAAACCAAAACTAACGGAAAACGTACTTAGATACCTCGACTTGAATCCAATTTTTGCACACAAGTTCTAAATCACATAGCAGAGCTATTTTAACTTTTGAAATCATAATACGACCTCCATAACGTAGAATCGACCTACGATCGAACCTCAAAATCTCTAAAATTTCAACAGTTTCCAATTTTCGCCAAAAAGACCTAAAATGAGCTACGGACCTCCAAATTAAAATCCGTACATACGCCCGAATCCAAAATCACCATACGAAACTATTGAAATCATCAAAATTCCATTTTGGAATCATCTAGACAAAATTCAAATTCCGATCAACTCTTACCGCTTAAGCATCTAAAACAAGAATCCTTCTTCCAAATTGATCCTGAATCATCCGAAAACCGAACTCGACAACACATGCAAGTCAACACATAATTTGAAGCTACTCGAGACCTTAAGCCGCCGAATCGGACGCTAATTCTCAAAACGATCGGTCGGGTCGTTACAGGATGCCTCATGGCATGCCACCTCAGCACCCTTAATCCATATATAAAAGACTAAAATTTGAAATACAATATTTTTCATAGTAGCGGTAATGGTGGCAAAGTGGTGGAGGGGAAGGATATTTTTATGGTGAAAAAAAAAATAGAAGAGATGAGTAAAATGGGTTAGGGGCGCTGAGGTGGCAAGCCACGTGGCATCCACTTCATCAAATGTCAGTGCTACGTATGATTGGATGTCCACTTTGGAAAAACTTAATGGAAAAAGGGTATTTTTGAACCAATAATATAGCGACAAGGGTATATTTGGACTCAAAGTATAACGAGGGACATATTTAAACTTTTTCTAATAGTATAGGGGTATATTTGCCCTTTTCCGATAAAAGAATGACCATCTCTGAAATAATATGCATGGTTTCTTTCTGAGGTTCCGAACAATAGAAACATTTGGAAACAAAATTGTTCCCAAATCTTAAAAGAGTATCACCAAAAGGTAACTTATCTTTCAAGATTCTTCATACCAAAAATGACATCTTAAAAGGAAGGAATTTGTGCCAGATCCTTCCAAGAAACATAGAAACTTCCCTCCTTTGTCTGATGTTATTCCATGCTGAAGCCATACTAGTGAAACTGCCCCCATTGTCAAGCATCCACACAGGAGAGTCTGCGAAACATCTCAATACAAGAGGGACAGACTGGATATGCTCAGGGAGAAATTCAAGAAGTTGTAGGTTTCCAACTTCCTATTTGTCATTGAAAATGATATCTCTAAGTGATTACCATGATGCTCATGCATATGAATTATTTGAGCTATAGCACCTATTTCTAACCAATTATCCCGCCACAAACTAGAGTTACCTAAGTTGACCTTCCATACTAAAGCATCTGCCACCTTCGCCCTAATCTTTCACAGATTTTGCCATGTTGTAGATTGATTTGGACTGAGTTTAATAGCCACAAGATGTGAGATACTACAATACTTGGCCAGTAGAAAGTCAAACCACAAATTTTTGAAAGTTCTAAACCTCCACCACTTTTTCATTGTCAAACATTTACTAACATGCATCAAACTCCTGAAACCCACCCCTCTCTCCTCCACGGGATCGGATAACATAAATTAGACCACGAGCTCCAGTAGCTCCCCAGAAGAACCTAGCCATGTAACTTTCAAACTGCTTATACTGTTTTAGGTTCTAATGCAGATAACATGTGTATAGGTTGAGATTGTAAAACATATTTAATGAGAGAATATGTTTCCAATTCTCTGAAAAGCCAAATCACATGTAGTAGAAAATGCCAATTTGCTCTGTCGTAAGCCTTTGCTATGTCCAGCTTAATGACAATATTCCCATTTCCCTCCCACATTCTTTTTACTAATACCATGTACTATTATTTTCTGAGCTAATAACATATTCTCTGTGATAGATCTACCCTTTAAGAAACCAGTCTGATGGTAAGAAATGAGTTTGGGAAGTATAGTATTCAATCTGGAGCTCAATATTATTCCTTCTCCCTCTCCCCTTCCTCGGTTTCTAAGATAGAACTAAAAGTTCAATGGCTTTTAAAACCTTTGAGCCAATTCAGTACAAGATAGAATGGGTTACATCGTAACAGTCGAGGCATATAGCAAGTTGGCTGGAATCTGTAAATTCCAAGGGTTTAAATGATGGATACCGTAAATTAGAAATTTTCCAAAATCACTCTTATATGTTTGGTCAAACTTTTAAAAAGTATTTTTGGGAGAAGCAGTTTGTGTTTGGCTAATCAATTTAAAAGCAATTTTAAGCAATAATTAGTGTTTAGCCAAACTTTTAAAAAGTATTTTTAAGTGTATTTTTCTCAAAAATAAACTTTTCAAAAAAGTGTTTCCGGGAAAATATATTTTTTTTTTCTGCTTCTCAAAAACACTAAAGCAGGTATTTTCCTTCTAAAAGTTTGATCACACACTTTAACTTTAGAAAAAAAAATATATTTTTAGCCAAAAAAAAAAAAAACCCGGGCAATACATGCTATTAATCTATTTAAGCAACTTATATACTTACTTTATTTTTTAAGTTGTCATATCTTATTTGCTATAAACAGTTACCTCTTATTGCAGGTAATACGTACACAATATTACTTTAAAAACTCATATTAATTTCCAATACAAACAGTAATAAGCCGTCTCCCAAACGGAAAAGAAATTCCACTAACCCTTTTTTTCCTTTCTTTTATTATATTGTGGGTCTAATTTGTTAGGAAAGAAAAAACTTTTCCCTATCAAATTCGGACTATAACTAAGTTCACTAGGTCTAGGATTTGCTTCGCAAACTAATATATAAGTACATAAGACGGGGTTAAAATCACTTTGAAATTAACTCTCTGAACATGGAGTGTGTTTTTGAATACCACCATTGCTCCTCAAATATAATTACCAAAATTCATGAATCAAACCAAGAATTAAATTGCCCTATAACCATTCAGTTTCACCTTCTTACTCAAGAACAATATTGGCATATATCATCCCATGACCCCGCACAATATCAACTCCTAGATAATTATAATCAAACTCATACCAAATCACTTCATCTCACAATTTACCCTTGTTTATACACGTCTCATGACATGCTTTACCATGTCATATCTCGAGCACCTTTTTGAGAATAATTATCAACCAACTTTGATCCATGATACGATGGAGAAAATATGTAAAATTGTTGATGATGAATCTAACAATGGTCTTCGTCAGTTGGAAATGTTCGTTCATGTAACATCAAACATTGAACATGTTGGTTATATGAGGATATTATTAGAGGAATCGTCGCGCGACAATGGGACGGTACCTGCTAGTAAGTCATCCATGAAGTTGTTAAAGAGAATGGAGGTTGATGAAGAACGTACAAATGATGACTGTGTGATTTGTTTTCAAGAGTTTGGAAAAAAGATGGAGTTATTGTGCATGCCTTGCTCACATGGGTTTCATGCAGATTGTATTACCAATTGGTTGGAGAATTATGGCCATAGTTGCCCTATTTGTCGTTATGAGATGCCAACTACTGAATTAGACTCCTAGCTAGGAAAAGAAACATTAGTAGTTTACTACCAATTAATGTTTGGACTTTATTTTAAACAAATAGTTGTATGATATTTCTCCCTGCGTCTCAAATTATCTGTCATGATTTCTAAAAATAGTTGTCTTAAATTATTTGTCATTTTATTTTTTTCCTATTCTATCCTTAATATTAATTGTTCTTGAAGACTACAAATACCTCAATTTGCCTAAAAGATAGATTCTTTTTTTACAGTAATGTACTTTTCCCATACTGTTTAATAGTAGTAGAAGAAATGGGAATACAAATCACCAATGACTAGGGGTGTTCATAAAAACCCGAAAAACCGAAACAAACCGAAAACCAAACCAAACCGACCCAAAAAAACGATACTTTTTTGTTTGGTTTGGTTTTGGTTTTGAATTTTAAAAACCGATCAAATTTGGTTTGGTTTTGGTTTTAATCAGAAAAAAATCGAACACAACCGACTATAGGAGTAGCTATTTCAAATTCATTATTACACCTATATATATGTATATTTTTATATAAAGTTTCAAAAATTTAATGGTAAATGTTAATAGTTTGCACTTTTAGTATAGTTCTTACCTTTACATTCTAGTTTGATTGGTAGTTTTCTTTTATTAAGTGTAAGAATCCATTTCGTGTTAAAAATAATATATTTTTAATTGAGTCCTTAAATTATTCATCACTATTTTATTCAATTATCATCAATATATCTTGGTAAATAATAGATTTCTCAAAGGGAAATTGATTTGATAGTGTTACGTTGAAAATGTGATCTCCGGAATATGTGTTTGGTAGTGTATGTCTTATATTTAAGAAAAAACCGACAAATAACCGAAAAAAACGAAAAACAGACATAAACCGAATTGAGAAAATACCAACTTAATTGGTTTGGTTTGGTTTTGTTTTAATATTTGAAAAACCGACTTACTTGGTTTGGTTTCTTTTTATGAAAAACCGGTCCAAACCGAACCATGAACACCCCTACCAATGACATGTGACCTAGCCACTTTTACCAGAACAAAGCAACCATTTTTACAGGGCTGAACTGTTACAAAATGGCACAAAAGCTAAGTGGCTAGATGTTCAAGATATTTAGATGAGCTAACCTAGAATCGTAGTTTGATAAGTGACAGTGAGGGGATTACATTCCTTGCGACACACAAGAAACTAGTGAACTCGGAATTATTTTCTATTTTGTGAACTAACGTTTCTTTGCTTCTATGATTTTTTGATTTTGAACAGAGCTTAGATAACAAGAGCTAACACAACGTATGAATAGGCTACAGAGTGAGTATTTCAGCATTGAACAAAAAAACAGAACTATGCTAGGAATGCCAATGCATTAATACATACTAGACAACAAAATTTGGTAGATATATGTGAAATGTACAATGACAACTAAATATATATATATTCTCTCAGTCACCTTCCGCGAGGAGACTTTTGATAAGCTTGTAATGGAGAAGCAGACGGTGTCATATTCAGGGGTGAGCGATGTCTCATAGGCGATACTGCCACGGGACTAGAAATACCCCTATGCTCGATATGTGAGAGTTTGCTAGCACCTTTTGGAGATTGAAGCTCTTCAAGTGCAACTAAAACCTCAGACATTCGTGGCCGGAGCTTGGGCTCATTGCTTAGACATTGCCAAGCAAGGTTAGCAGCTGTATATGCCCCTTTCTGAGGATACTGGCCTTCTAATTTGGTATCCATTATTCGAAACAACCTCCTCTTGTCACCCAAATATGGCTTTGCCCAGTCTACAAGATTTTGCTCTATACCGACCTTTGTGTTATCAACAGCACGTCGGCCTGATAACAGTTCAAGCAACACAACGCCAAAGCTGTAAACATCACTTTTTGCTGTCAAACGACCTGTAAGATAGCACGATAATTAGTTACAAGATAATAGACAATGGTATCACAAGCATAATTTGTTCAGTCGTGAGAGGATAATAATCATCATAATTCATATTCACGAAACAGAGTTATGTTTATTCCTAATAAGAAATCAAGCGCTTTCTTCTACGTGAAAATATACCGATTTTGTCAAAAGTTATGGACAAATAAGATTGGTAGGCGGCGTCATAGGAGTCTGGGTAAGAAGATGTATAGATCTATACATCGTTAACCTTTTCTCTATGTTCAAGTAAAGCAAGAGGCTATAACAAGAGTAGAGATAACATTGTTTTTTCTGAAAAACAAATATACAAACACATTCCCCCAATATATTTCCTCTTCTCTGGCAATTAACGACATCATCAACAACAACAACAACAACAACAACCAACCAGTATAATCCCACAAGTGGGATCTGGGGAGGGTAGAATGTACGCAGCCTTACCCCTACCCTGTGCGGGCAGAAAGACTGTTTCCGATAGACCCTCGGCTAAAGAAGGTGAGAGAAGCCCTGATAGCATGGCAATTAACGACATCAAAGAACATATTTCCACCATGCTGGTAGAGTATTACCATCATATCCAAATTATGAAAAGTAAAGTAGATATAGCAAATCTTATCACAAAAAAGTTAGTGTTTAAAATATTTTAATCCTAATTCCTGCATGATGGATCTCTAACCAAAAGGCCGTGCTACAAGTTCAATATAGCTAAACAGAGAGGTACTCTACTAACCTGTAGCAACATATTCGGGAGCAGCATAGCCTTGTGTACCCATTACTTGAGTGGATACATGAGTGCGATCACCGGTTGGCCCAGCTTTAGCCAAACCAAAATCAGACAGCTTTGCATTAAATTCCTGCAATCACAGAAACCAGACATGTCTTAAGCTTTGCAAGGCACCAGGAAAACTTATCCTAAGGAAAGGCGTATTTACAAATAGGGGGATCAGGGTCTGATACGTACTGCATCCAACAGAATATTTGAAGCCTTGAAATCCCGATATATGACTTGTTCTTTAGCATCATGAAGGAATGCAAGGCCTCTAGCAGCACCAATAGCCACCTTTATTCTTGTAGCCCAATTCAGAGGTTGAGGTCCTCCTGTTTAACAAAGATTAAGCTAAGAGTTACCACCAATTTGTAAATACACATATAATACAAGTTCCACTGGACAACTGAATTACATTTGGTCATGACAAGTGTTTAAAAACTATTAAAAGGTAAAACGGGGAGGCAAGCAGCAGATGAAATCACAGCAGTTTGACAAATCCAAATCAAGGAGGAGGGAGAAAGCTGACATACTTCTAAACAAATGGTTCTCCAAGCTTCCTTTAGGCATGAACTCATACACCAAAAGGTGGTTGTCACCGTCGATGCAATAGCCAATGAGTTTAACCAAATTTTGATGACGAAGTTGCCCGAGGTAATTAACTTCAGTCTGTAAATTACTTGATATTAATTACAATGCCAACGAGAATAATAATTCATAAAGGAGGAATATTGCATCGGTACATACCAGCCACTCCTTGTGACCTTGAAAACCCTCTGGCTTCAATTTCTTGACAGCAATCACCATTCCCGAACCAGGCTTTGCAGCAGTAAGATTATGCTCATCGATCCATCCTTTAAAAACATAACCAAATCCGCCTTCCCCAAGAAGACTGTCAGGTCTAAAATTCCTCGTTGCATTTTTCAATTCATTGAATGAGAAGGATTTGACATTAGGAGAAAATAATATTTCGCCTTCGGATCTTGGAGTAGGGATGCTATCACAACTGCTTTTCCTTCCGTAGGATGGAATACTTAGGCTTGACGGAACAGAAGAATCGCTGGTTTTGCTTGGAAATCTTGAGGCTTCAGAAGCTGGAACATAAAAGCATAGGAAATGTCATTGTTTATTCTCAACAATCAATAAGCATTCTTGCAATAAAATTCTCCTTTTCAACACCTTGTGGTTAATTTTAGGAGACAAGCCAAAGACTTTGCTACGTCATCAATTTCAGTTGACACTTTAAGTATGAAATTACTATGATGTGTTTTGCATCCTAAACATAAGAAAACTGGACATAAAAAAGAATCATCTTGATGGTTGGAAATAAACTTGCAAGTAACTATTCGCTGCGAAATACATTTGTTCGATGCATTTAAGCAGAAGAGAATGACTTCTAAACAATCTAATCATCTCTGAGTTCAAACGAAAATAAGGATGACAAAGCAACTAGACAACAGCAAATAGAGAGATTACAAAATTCAAATAAAAATTCTAAACCAGCATCCAAAACTCACAAATTTCACTACTAAATTATCTTGCAAAAGTCAAATAACTTGAAATAAATAAAAAGATCCATGCTTTTATGTACCAACATAAATAGACTTCCTGATCAAACCAAATGCATCAATAAAGAGGAGGAAAAAATAAAGCCCACACATCAGATATCTAACAAGTAACAACTTAAACTCACCTCATACACTAATTGGAAGCAATCAAGATTACAGTTGACAAAGAACAAAGCAAAGAACTAAATCAAACCCATCATATAGCAGAAAAAAAAGATACCCAAAAACCAATCTTTAACTGCTTTTATACCCCACAAAAAGAAGAAAAAACAAAATAGGGATGCAATTAACTAAGCTCAGAGACATAACAAGACTAATGAAAACAATCAAGATTTACTGCTGAAAAAGAGCAAAGCAAACAAAATCACACAAAAACCAATTTCTAACTGCTTCTACACACGCACACACACACACATACAAGAGCAAGAAAAACAGAAAAGGGTGAAGTACCAGAAGGGGTATTAGAGCTCAAAGTGGCTTCAACTCTAGCTGAGGAACCTATGCAATTCCCCATCAGAACAAAAAAAAAATGACAACCCCACAAAATATCAAGCAAAAACTCTCCAAAATCAAGTCTTTACAGCAATATTTCTGCAAAAATGTCAAATCTTGCACAACCCAAATACAAGATATTTTTGGGGGGGTTGTACAAAATTTATGTGAGCTGAAAAGTTTGGTACGTTTTAGTTGAAAAAAATGAAGATGAGTCACATGAAACAACTACTAAGAATAGTAGTTGAAGGCTTTTAGTTAGTAGATAAATATAGAGGAATTAATTAAGGAAGTAGAGGGGAAGAGATATAGAAATGGGGGAGTAGCTTCCTTTTTCCATTTCTCACTTGTTTATTAATCATAATTCATACATTAAACGACACAAATGCGTGTCTACATTATGATAACGTGGGACGTCACTACTCGTCATCTCTTTTTTAGCTCCTAATTTGCCCCTACCTACTCAGCATGTCAAATCTACAGAATTTCAGAAATTTTCTCTGAAATGACTTAAATAACCCCCTTGTATTTGCCTTTTTTCTTAATACTAATAAATTAACAAAATGCTGCCTTATTTTATTAAATAAATATTTTGTTCACCACATATTAAAAAAACTTGATCTCTTTTTAGTTAGTTATTAGAAAAAAAAGGTGGAGAAATTAGGATAATCTAAAATATATAGTAGGTAAATTAATTTAGGTCAAACAAAGTACACTTATTATATTCACTGTTCATAGATATTATTCCAAATAATTGAAAAGCCTAATGTCAAGGAGCTGAAGAGAAAATGAGAAATATAGGACCAACAGCCCCACATGTGTGTCACTTGGTAGGCGTTTGGGCTAGGGATGTCAATGGATATTTGAAAACCGGCTAAATCGATCGAATCGTACTGCATCGAACCAATTTTAGGTTTCTTTAGGTTTTTATATAAATCTGTAACCATACCGATAATTACGGTAGGTTTTTTATTTTATAAAAATAAACCGAAAAAATACCAAACCGTACCGAATAAACTTTATAGGTGAAAAATATATTTATATAGCAAGTTTAAAACGAATAAACATTAAATTTTTTATTGGGTCTTGGAATTATGAAAATTGTTACTACAAGCCAACAAGTAATTAAACTCAAAATACTAATTCCTAAAATCTATTATGCTACTTATACTTAAACTAAGTTATTTCAAGTATCTTTATTAGCAAGACACAAAGTGTTCTAGCGATTATGAGTAGAAAACTACAATGTATTGAATATGTTTCCTATCATACAATTTAGATTTATCTTTTTCAATATTTAATATAAACTTTATTTTTGTGTCCCGGCTTGGTTAATATCTTTCCACTCGTGTGATTTATATTTTCTTTGCTTTTACTTGGGTTTTTTTACGTTGCTGTCGAATAGTTGATGGATCTATACTCTAGCCATCTTCCATGTTTTTTTAAATTCATCACCCTTTAAACAGTAAAAATGTCTAGAAAGTTTTGGTAAGTCCTGTAAAAGAACATATGTTATTGCATTCTACTTCTACTAGTGAGTTTTACACATGATATTTAAAAAAATACCGAAAATTAACCGAACCGTACCGATACCGAAGTGAAACCAACATGATTGGGACGGTTTCGAAAAGTCTAATTTTGGTTATACATAATAGAATAACCGAGAAATTGGTATGGTATAAATTTTATAAAATAACCGCCCGAACCGAACCATTGACACCCCTAGTTTGGGCATAAAAGGTGTAATTTTTTGGAAAAAAAAGTATTATTTGGAGTTAAATGACATTTGAAATTTGAAATTATGTTTGGACATGCATTTCATTTGAAAAAATGTTACAGTTTTGTCAGTGAGGAAAAAAATTAAAAAAATTGATTTGAAAAAACTCTTTTTTGAAAAATTTTCAAAAACTAATTGCAAAATTTTATGGACAGACACATTTTTGACAAAAAAATTCGGAAAAAAAAAAAAAGAAATGGACAAACGGATCCTTAGATTGCTCTTGGGAAGATGAGATTTTCACGTAGAAATATAACAAAGAGATAATTGTGAATAAAGTGTTCGAATTTCTAGATTCTATAAATTATTGCTGGTGACTTGACTTCAATATGAAACAGTTGTTAAACATACGAGTATCAGAAGTTAGAAAACAATCTTTATATTCCTGCAAACAAAATAAAAGCATTTTTATACAACAAAATGAGGTCGGTATGTCCCTTTACTTTTTTATGTTTGGCTTTTGCATGGCTCTAATGAAGAAGATATTAGCTAGAAGGATTCACTATATTAATCTCTCTTCACATTAGTAATTTGAGTAAGGATAAAAGTCAAAAATTTAATTAATTTTTCTTGATTTTCTAAACTAAAAATCATTTTGAATTAATTATTTTTAATAATCTTAATAACTAAAAAGGACATGAGGACTACAGCTTTTAGTCGTTTTCAGAAACTAATGTAATTTGTTGCCGAACACATTACACACGTTTTTATGTTCAAAGTCTGAGACACGGCTAGCATGTAGTTATATACATGTTTCAGAAACAAACAACTTAAAAAATAAAAAAATAGACATAAAAGGACCAATAATAAATGTGTATGTATATAACTAGATAGAGTGACTTGTCCATACTCCACACACCGTCCATCCTTAGTGTTAATGTGTAGTAGCTTTACGGAATAAAGAATTTTTTTTTTTTTTTTTTGAGGAAATTAAAAGCACACAAACATGTGTGAGTGTAAAACTTGAGAAATAAATGAGAGCAATTGCAAGAAGAAATGTGTATGTGTTTCTTGTCCTGGAAAATGAAAGCATAAAAGGTTGAGTTTAAACTTATAAAATGGTCCCCAAAAATCATGGAATTTTGGAGGAGGAAAAATATTTAGTTCACATATTAAATATTTGACTTAGAACATGACAACTGTCAGGGGCGGAACTAAAGTTTATGTTGCGAGTTCGGCCGAATTTAATATTTTTGATTCATATTTTGTATTTGTCTTAAAAAATTCATTAACTACGTATAAATTATTAATTGACTAAAATCCTGAATCTGTATGTTTCAGGGCTGGAAAAGTCATTTCTCCTTTTTGGAGGGCGTAGATAACATTTAATTAATTTATTTACAAGACGCTTTTTGAAAAGGCAAGCAAAGCATATACTCCTGTAAGATATTCCATTTTTGTGCAATCAGCAGGTACCACCAAGGAATTTAATATAATTTTGATTAATATACTTTATCTTATACAAAAATCAATAAACTAGTGGCTGAATCAATATACTTTAAAAACAAGTTTCGTTGACTGACAGTGAAAGTCCAGCAGTGTCTGAATCTGGCCAAGACAAATTTAATTCGAATCCACTTCAACCTCACACTTTCTTCTTGATGCAGCCTGCAAATTATTTTTCCCACTTCAAAAAATAGAGTTCATACTTCAATTGGATTTATTAAATTCAAGGGAAATAGTCCTTTTAAATAAATCTAATGATTTTTTAATTACTATTATCCTTATTGTTGTAGAAACTTCTTAGCCAAGGGGAGAAGTGAGAGGCAAATGATACTCATATGTGAAAATTTTAATTTTTTCTTTTTCTTGGAAAGAGTGGACTACAGTTTACTGAGGCAACTTTTTTTAAGGCAACCATGCACAAAAGAAATTCCATTCATGTGGAGTATTTGACAATCTAAGTTAGCCAGTTGACCCACGAGAATTCAGTAGCTTTTGGCCAAATATCATATATGTTGCATACGGTTAAAATCCAGGATAAAGTTACCTCCAATTTATCGTTGTGAGACGAGAAACGATGTTATTTCTTACTGGCTCGAGTGAGACCGAAGATAACTACAGATCGGAACCAAGAACGGACGAATGATATAACGGGTCTCGAGCACGGCCAAACCCGGAGGGAAGCAAGCTCGAGTGGGATATAGAATCGAGGGTAAAGGAAAGACGGTTACAGGAGACAAACATGGAGCCGAAATATCCGCCATCAGCCGGGGATTGCAGCACGGATCACGCTCGGTATCGAACTGTGTGGGAGATAAGGAAGGAAAAGATTTTTACCTTATTTAGACTTGTACTAGGGTTAAATCTCCTCTGCTTTATAGAGAAGAGAACCCTTTCATTTTTTGGGCATTGTTTTACACGAATAATTAAGGCAATAAAATTTACTTGGCTCTCAATATTTTTTTTAAGTGTTCTTCAGTTGTTCACTCGTTATTCGGATTCAAGCTCTATCTCGAGGGCTCAATCGAGACCAATCGTTGGCATTTAAGCTGAACATAAGGCATAATTACAACGCCACATTGGTTTGATCGTTTTATCTCATTTTAATTCAACTATTTATTGTTCTTTGATCATTTATGTTAAACTAAACCACATATCATTTAAATCGCGTACAAGAATTAATTATTATCCATTTTAAGGGGTAAACAGTTTTCCCCAGCACTGGGAACGACTACGTCCTTGTCGTCCCATTTGCAGTCCTCTCGGACAGCCATGAGTGTCTTCGGTGTAATGGAGCAGGCATACCTCCACGCTTCCTCACCATGATCTCCTTGTGCGGAGGCTTTCTCGACTTTGAAATCGTTATCTATGGAGCAGCCACCGGGGATAAAAAGGAGGTCCCGGGGCTACTACTGGATGCACAGCCTTGGTGCCAGTGGCCGAAGAAGAGGTCGGCGATGCAGTGTTTTGAGGTACTGATTTTGAAGTCTTCCCTAACCCTATTTGAGAATATGAATATCTAGGGATCTGATATGAGGATTTGAAGATCTGTTATGAAGATATGAAGAACAAATTGTGAAGGTTTGAAGGAGCAACAAACGGATGAAGCTATGAAAAGTTCGAAGGTAACTTGGGGAAATTTGAAGACAGAAAGCAAAAAAGTGAAAGTGAAAAATCGAAACTTTTATTGGGAAGGAGTAATTATTGCAAGACGTTTTGAATTTGGTAACAGCCGAGGGTGTTCAACCGATGACTGACCTGTGTCCAAAGTCAGAGCGACGTGACTGATAGGACGTTTCGATTTGTCAGCTTGAGCATGATTTACGAGAGAAGGAACCAGGGTCAATTAGTCACTTCTCATCACTTTTGTATTCTACTCTCCGAGAAATGACGGGACTATCTGCATACGGTTAAAATCGAGGATAAAGTTACCCCCGATTTCCCATTGTGAGACGAGAAACGACGTTATATGTTACTGGCTCAAGTGAGACCGAAGATACCCACAGATCGGAACCAATAATGGACAAATGATATAACAAGTCTCGAGCACGGCCGAACCAGAGGGAATCAAGCTGGAGTGGGATATAGAATCGAGGGTAAAGGAAAAATGGTTAAAGTAGAAAAACGGGGAGCCAAAATATCTTCCATCAGTTGGGGCTTGCGGCGCAGATCATGCTCGGTAGCGACTGTGGATCTTATTTTCCTGGAGCACTACAAGAAATCGAGTTTTTAGTGGCGACAAAGTCGCTACTAAAGCATGAAAAGTCGCCGCTAAAACCATTTAGTAGCGACATTATGGTTGCTCCAAGTAACACCGTTACTGAATGTTACTTGTGATGACTCTTGGATGTCGCCACAAAAACATACATTTTGTGGCGACGTAACTCGCACAACAAGTAAAGAAAACATGCAACCACACAGTAGATTTGGGAATAGGTCGCTGCTGATGATGGACTTTTAGCAGCGACGACAGTCGCCACAAAAGTGATCATACCATTAGTGGCTGTTCAGATCGCCACAATAAGATTATGTTTAGTAACAATATTGGTCGCCACAAATACTTATTTTTAGTGACAAAATTGGTCGCCCCTAAAACCGATTTTTCCAACTGATTCTACTTCTTAAAAATTATTAAGTTGCAACAATATTTTAAACTAATATTACACAAATTAGAGAAATTCATTAATATTAAAAAGACACCATTAAAACTTCTATCAAACAGAATGATCAAGGAACATTTTATTAAAAATTCATAATAAATAGGAATTCTATACATATGAAATGCCAGAAAAAAACAACACAATCCAAATGTCTTCGAGCTCGTCCTTGGCTAGTTTCATTTCCTTTTGAAGAATATGACCTTAGAATGCAGCAACAAACTTTCATAACAAGATAATATTGGCTGCCCACCAAGTGCGGCTCCTTTTGTACAGTTTCATAGGAAGGCACATTATTATCTTCAGCGTATTGGTTACTACCTACAAAAGAAATTCAGGGTGATTTGTTAGAAATTTAGATACCATTAAATGAAATGATGTAATCATGCCAATGTGTTTTTAAATATTACAATAATAATGATGGCTAAATCTTTCACGTGTAAGTGCTAAATATTAAAACTAATCAACACATATTAACAACAAATGCAAAATATAAGGAATAAAAACTTTCTCTACTGATTATTTACTAATTGTATTCTCTGTAAAAGAACAAACTTCCTAAATACCATATCATAGTGCACGTTGATGGAAGTATAGTTTGAAAACATTACGATTTGAAATAATTCCTGAGTTGATGGTATAAACATGAGTCATGTTTTATATTTCCAGATTGTCCTAATTTTCACTATGCTCTCTCTCTGTTTCTCATAAAAGGTGCTCTTCCAACTATAATTTACTAATTTTAAAGTGAAACTACTAGATGGTGAACTGCAAAGTGAACTCCCACATGCTAAAAGGTGAACAAACATTCAGGCAACACGCATATTCTTTGTTCATTTTCAGAAACAAGTGTTAAAAATTAACTAACATAAATGAGCTACCAAGGAGTCGTAACTAAGCCTAGTTGCAAAGTGTAAGTATCACTAAGTGGTCTTCTTACTAAAAAAGATCATTAGCTCTGCAATTCTTTGGTGTCTCACTGATCACACAAAGTCAGAAGCTTTGGATGGGAAAATGCATGGCCAACAATCTGGAACAAGAAGTGATAAGTGAAAGAAGAAACTAGGCATACACATCACATAAGCAGTCAATAGATGCAGTGTAATTCCTCTGGTACAACTTATGAGGCCTACAACTGTGACTCTATAAACAACATTATGTGATCTTTAGTGTTCCCCCGATTAGCACTTCTGATCAAGTGATACAATTGCTCATTTCTAATTGGTTTCTAAACAAGAAGATCATCAGGTATTAAAAGGTTTGACAACAAACTTAATCCATGCAACTTACAAGTGTCTTAAATCACTTCTTACCCATATGTCTATGTCTTCATTGAATCATTCTAGTCTTCTAAGAAACTTAATTTAACCACAGAGTACCAAAAGGTGCAGGTATCCTGATATACGGAAGCTGCTAGAGATGGAGGCTAAGATGATCATGGAATGACCTCTAATAGCCCAACTGTATGCCAAATGCAAAGAGGCAAAAGCTGTAACATTACTTGATTCATGATCGCACTTTAGCTTTGAAGAAACACTTCTTCGATCATGGGAAAAGAATGTCTTGTGTAATCGCATAAGATAAGTGCCAACACTCTGGATGTTATCAATTATGAGATACGTGCTTCAATGTTAAATAGGAGAGGCAGCACCAAACAACCAAATTATTTTAATTTTTGATGTGGTATTGAAGCTGGCATATGGAAGCATCACACTTAAGGAAGAGGAATCACGCATATCCTTCAACAAGATCAGATGGAATCTGATACATTGACTGAAAGAAGTCGTGGCTGAAAGGAAAACTTACATATGATTCGGACATTGAAAAGTATGAATATTTAACAGCCTTTAAAATATAAGGAGCCAAAATAATATTTACAACGAAGAAGCTATGCACACAGCAAGATAGACACAGAGATGGAACTTTAAAGATACAACCAGAGAACTTCTAATATACTCAAATTTATGAAGGTCACTATCTTCACAAGTAAGATGATCCGTCATCCAACCCAGTTTACAAATACCATGGAAATTCAAGCACAAGGTTGGTTCACATTTATTTTGTCAGTAACTGGAAGGTCCCTATGAAGAGAAAAAAAAAATGAGCCCTTAAAGAAAGCACAGAATGTGAACAGGATATCAGTATCAAAAGTGATGAAATACCCGGTGATTTCTATAAAGGAGTGGCAATCCAAAATCGAAACCATATTACTAACTGGAAAAGTGCAAGTGAAATACATATTGATATATGAAACACTTCAACATTGAGTAGGTACAAGAGCCACAAAGCCGCTTAGAATGGTAAAAGGAAAGACAACAGGGTGGAGACAATCCTCTGGCTCGAACTAATAATTTTTACTCCTTTATAAAATCAAAAGTACACCAAGATGAACAACGAGTGCAACTAAAAGAAAAGCTAAACCATTCAGATAAGTTTATTGCATGTCATATAGGACAGTGTTCTTTTGATAGATAAGCAAGAAAATCAACATGCCACACAGACAGTAGTATGACATCCTTTCATAGATGTAAACAAATGATTATCGAAAATGAATTGGAGTCTTGCACAGGTGTATGGAAAGTGTCGCATGAAGGTATCTCGAGGATCCTGAAATGAGTGGTGCATTCTCTAGCCTAATAATTGCTGCCCTTACAGCTACAATCTTCTTCAATTTCGAGTTGTACTGCTAAATGTATACAATATGTTCTGCATTGTTTGTCTCGCCACATTAATATTAAGGATATAAATAATATTCTGCATTATGTCCTGTCTTCCTTTTACGCATATAGATTACATTCTATTCAAAGAGGAAAACAGAACAGAGTACTTCAATTTTTCATATTGCTTCTACTCTTTCTTCCTCCCAAAACCAATCAAAGAACCAAATACCAAGAAAAAAGATACAAGGTCAAAAAGAAAAACACAAGCATGTGCACAGCAAGAGTGGAAAGAGAAGCAAAACCATGAATTGAAATAAACAAAGGAAAAGCAGAGCAAAGAATTGATAGAAATAAAAATGTAAGGAAACAACTAATTAGATGTAGTAACAATACATACACAATTCAGTGGCTAAATAAAATTCATCATTAAAAGCAGAACACAAATGATAACCATGAGAACAAGGACTAGTTTTGACTTAACCTCAACAAAGGAAATTTTCTCAAATTGAAGAAAAGTAGCACTGGTCGCGGCCGGCCACCTGTTCTATAAGCAGAAATGAATAGAGCCAAAAACTTCAAGGGCAACAAAGCGATAGTTGTTTAGAGAGCCGAAAAGTTTGACAAAATGCAGAAACGGTGTAATAACGAAACCCTAAGTTAGAAAGGAGTGACTTTAGCTTACCTCGATGCAACAATATCTGCGAAAATCAACGAAACCCTAGAAATAAAAAGTCAGCAAGAACTGAAATTGTCGGAATTTGTTTATTTTGTTGCTTCGGTAGCACAAATTGGAATTGACGGGAAATGTGAGTTTTTCATGAATAGTGATGTGCAAGAGAAAAGTCAAATTGACCCAAAAAGAAACTGAATCAAGCCAACACAAGAAAACGATTGTACCTTAATGTTACTCAAACTTCAACTTCTGGGATATAGACCTCTGCTATCTCCTTTAAATCTCCTCTTTTCATAAATGAGATGGGTTTTCTTCTTGGCCGAGAGGAAATTGCGTCTCTGATGGTAAACAATGCGAGTTAAGAGAGGAAACCCTAAACTCCTTGTAGATAAAGACGAAATATGAAGGGCCCAGAGGGAACTGGGGGAGTTTGATAGGAAATTTTGGGTCTTTAACTGGAAGTGGGAACCATTTACGGGTTTCTTTATGTTTTGATTTCTTTTGCTTTTTTTTTTTTGGATTATCTAAATTGGAACTAAAAATGACTTTTTGATGAACCAACTGTTATACACTATATGAAATTATTTCAAGTACTTAGTTAAATAACTCTACTATTATTAAACCTTTTCAATATATGAGTATTTATATTTAAAAGTGTATAGATATATAAAATTATTTTAAGTACTTATTTAGCAATATTAAGGGACAAAGAATACATGAACTTATTTCAACTAAATAGTAAAATTTATATATAAATAAAAATAATAATCAATATCAAAATAAAATAATTAGTGGCGACATATAAGGTGCCACAAAAACTCCACTTTAGGAGCGACAATGTCGCCCACAACAAGGTCTTTAGCAGCGACCTTTCTAAGGTCGCCACAATACATTTCCAGCCATATTTCATTGTGAAAAAATTAGTACATTTTTGTAGCGACCTACACGTAGTCGCCACTATATGAGATTTTCTGTAGCGACAGCAAGAGTCGCCGCTAAAAATATCACTTTTGTGCCAACTATAAGTGTCGCCGCAAAAAGTCGTCACAAAAAATCATATTTCTTGTAGTGGAAAAGAAAAGATTATTACCTTATTTAGACTTGTACTAGGGTTAATCTCCTCTACTATATAAAGAGTAGAATCCATTTATTTTTGGGCACTGTTTTGCACGCATACAAGGTAATAAAATTTACTTTGGCTCTCAGCGATTGTGTTAAGTGTTCTTCAGTTGTTCACTCGTTTATTTGGATCCGAGCTCTATCTCGTGGGCTCAATCAAGACCAACTATTGGCATTTAAGCTGAACATAAGGCTTAATTACTACGCCACAGTGGTTTGATCGTTTTATCTCATTTCAATTCAATTATTTATTGTTCTTTGATCATTCGTGTTAAATTAAACCACATATCCTTTAAACCGCGTATAAATTAATTTAATTATTATCTATTTTAAGGGGTAAACATATGTAATAAGAAAAATTATTAAGTATTGATAATATAAACTGTAAATTCAATTATTATTATATACTAATCTGAGGTCGTTGTATAAATTTATAAATTTCAAATTTTAAATCGCCTCTTGTATTTAAGTAATATAATTTATCGTAAACAAAAATCTATAAACAAGTAGAAATTAAAAAAGTGAGTTTAATTAGTTGACTTACACTTGGGTCCAGTTAGGATAAAACTCAAAACAGGTCCTCCACTTCTGCCCCACGTTATATTCTTGACAAAACCTGCAAATCATCTTATCTATTAGTACTATTATTTGTCATCTTAAAGATTAAGCCAATGTTTGGACATAAATTTGGTTAACTTTTGAAAACATAAATTTTAGAAAATGAGATAAAAAATAATTATTGAAAGTTAAAATTGTGTTTGAACATGTATTTTACTTGAAAAGAATTTGAAGTTTCTGAGTAGAAAACTTCAAAAACTACTCTAAAGTTGTTTTAGGGATTTGAAGATTTTGTTTTTCAAAATCTACCAAAAATAATTAAAATCTATAAATAAATAGATATTTAAAATAAAATTTGAAAAAAAAAAAAAAAAACTCCCAAATTTATGGCCAATCGGGAGCTCAATCATTTTACTATAAGATTGTTTTATTAAGCAATGAGAAAATGCAATGAAGTGACAATTGTGGAATTATGTTCTAAAACGTGAGTACGTTTGTTCGTGGACTACATCAGCAGTGATGTAAGTTGTTCAAAGAGTCATTATCAATGGAAGAAAAAATTTCCTATGTTTTTTCCAATCTCTTTTCCACCTAAATCATTATGATGCTTTTTTTTTTTCCACTTCCCTTTTTTCCCCTTTTCACTTAATTAATCTCTTGAATTTAAGATCATTGACTTTCTTGTTATGTTTTCATTAGTTTTAAATTCTCTATTTCGTTGTTACATAGGGTTACTTGAGCTTTAATTTTTGATAGTTGGATGGTAAATAACTAGAAACTATATTGAAAATGTTATATTTAAAACTATCAAAAGAATATTTGGAAAATTATGCAAGTCACAAAAAAGTTTACTTGATTCAACAATGTGTCCAAAGTTTGTTCGAGTCATACAACGTTGTCGGACTGTTGTATCTTGAAGAGGACAAGTTAAGAGTATTACTACTGGACCGCTGAAGATGCTACCGCAATGAACTTGAATCTCCGTAAAGAGAGCGACATATTCACGCTTCAACCTAGAGAATATTTATTTATTTTTCTTCATCGTAGTTTTCAACTTTGATTAATTGTATTTTCACAAACAAATAGTAAAAATGACATAAAATAAAACAAATAGAGTACAAAGGTGGTGAGGGGCTATTAGGAAACCTAATCTGTTGCTTCTTTAACTTCCCACCAAAGCATGACGAGAATGATGCCAACGAAATTGCGTCCAAAAGGAAAACATATAGCCTAACGTTTAAAAGTACAAATAAATAGAGTAATAATTAACACATATATAAAAAATTTCTGCATTCGCACTAATCCTTTCACACTAGAATAGACAAAGTTAGCTTCCTTGTTGACCAGATTTATTTTCTCGAATTTTTTAAGTCTGCACAAGTGGACCATGTTATCACAATTCACTGGAAGATTCTTTTGGTGAAAGTTTCGTACTACTAATTAAGCTAGCATTTGACCATAGATTCCAAATTTATTTTGAAAAATCTGATTTGGGTGAAGTTTGGTTTGAAGATAAAAATGTGTTTGGACATACGTTTTCAAAACATATTTTCCAACTTTATTTTGGAAAAACATGTATATAATTCTCATGTTTTGGGATTGTGGCCCAAAATCATCTCAATAGCTATTTTGGTATTTGGGATTTGGGATTTGGGATTTGTCCAAAATATGGGCAAAATTTATGGCCAAACATGAGTTTTGAAAATAAATCCCAAATTTATTTTGGCAAAACTCATGGTTAAACGGGGCCTAAATTATAGGTAGTCATGTACAGTTATGTACTATCCCCGCAAAGTCATGGGAGCGTAGACTTGAGTAAATTAATGGAACTAGTCTCTGAACACGTGCGTTGCACGTGTAGCCCTAAATGATATTATAAAATTTGCTATCAAAAAGTAACAATTTCTTCACTCCATATATATTTCTTTCAAAACATTAGGAGCTATAAAATTGAATTAAAGCACACAAGTTTATCATAATATTGCTTATTTCTAATCTGATGAATGATGTCAGATGTGTTTGCCTTTTGTTTAGATTTATGTACATGGCTTCTGCAGGAAACTTTCTCACTATAGTTGCATGAACTACAACTTTTAGCGTAATAATGCGATATTTGAAATTCACTAGCTCGACTATTATGTCTTAGCACACGATATATAATTAAGATAGAAAAGCTAGTATCTTCCCTTCTCAGAAGTAAATGACATCTCCGAGACAAATGTGAAACTTCTTTAGGCGATTGGACAAATAGTTCTACTTACATTATCTTAACTTTTTTTAGTATTAATTTTAAATCACTCATGAAAATATTTTTGACTTTAGGAAAGTTCATAACGTTAATAAAACATTCTTTTTGTAAATTTCTCAAAATATTAATTCTAGATATTATCCATTAAATAATTGAATGACTGTTCTAACACATAGAAAAAAGGTTCAAGAAATTAGCCGCATACTCATAATTGTCTTGAGGTGATTATCATTTATCATGCATAGGATTTTTTTTCAAAATTTTCTACTTCAAAGGCGGTTGCATCGATATAATTAGCTGGTACACGAGTTCAACACTAACAAATACACATGTATACTTTTTGTATTCAACTTCTTCCAATTTTCAGACTTTGACCTTGTCATTTTTTTTATTTCTTTTATTCGTAAAAAAATTAACTTTATTTCTACCTCATGTATGATATGCACCTCTATAATTATATATAATCGAGTATCTGACCTTTCTCCTCTTTGCACCAACTAATGTTATCATTATTGAAATGTAAATGTGTAATATTCGCGTACAAGAGAAGATAGAAGACAAGGAACACCATACCTGTAGCGTGATTAGACTTTGCACTTTAATTAATAGGTATACCGTGGAATAAAAATTATTAGTAGGTTGCAACAGGCACTAATAGGTATAGGTTTAGAGTGCATATTAAAAAAAAACTAACTTATAAAGTGCTTTCGTTATACCTCTTTACTCAAAGATAAAGTAAATGATGAAATTTCGCTTCCCAATTTATATGTTGAGTAACAATATATAACACAAATGTTCTAAATTTCGCTGCAGTGAGTCTTGCAAAAGGCTCCTCAAATGGGTAGAAAGCGTTCTATATTTTTGAATTTGTATAAAAGCAGGGAGAAGTTGTAAGAATTGTTACCAACTTCACACCCTATTTATCTAGATTAATCCTATACGTTTCAGATTTCTAATATTTCTTTCTTTAATGCATCATTAAATATATAATGAAGAATGACCACTCAGATGGATCACATGAATCGGGTCATCTTTTTTGCAAACTCCTCAAATTCTCCTTACTAACAACATAATGAATTGGTTAATTCAGTGGTTGATTTCCCGTATAATTTGATCCATTGATAATAATTAATTGGAAGGTAAATTTAATATTTGGTACAAATAATAGAAATAGTGTTTAGATGAGGGGTAAAAATGTCATTCAGTTTTTTATGGGTATTTATGTAATTCAACTTTACACCTAAAATCTTCCCACTTATAATATAGTGTGATGATGATGTCGTAAAGAAAAAAGATAAAGAATTTCTAACAATAGATGATAAGGCTATCTTTTTTATTCTTCTAGACAGGGGTGTAAAAAGAGAACCGATAAATCGCACCAAATCGATAATCCGAATCAAACCGAAAAAAAAATCGATTGTGGTTTAGTTTGATTTGGTTTGGTATTAGAAAAAGAAATCCGACTATAATTGGTTTGATTTGGTTTTAAGTTTTAACTAAAAAAAAGTCAAACCGAAATCAAACCTATCTGATAGTACAT